CCTCGCCGTGTACGACCAGCGTGCTCGTGAGTGTGTGAGTGTGTACGTGCGAGGAGAGGTTTGAGGGGAGACTGAGAAGTGAGGCGCAAGGGCGAGGGGCCGGGCCGCGACGACCGCCAGTCCGTTCTGGCGAGGAGCGAAGGCGGACCGCGCGCCTCACCCTCGCCGCGGCACCACGCGCTCACCATAACGTCACACCATCAAATCCTCCTCATCACCATTAGCCCTATGGTGCCTCGCCGGCCCTCCCCCGTCCTGCTCCGGCCCGGCCGCTCCTCTCGCACTGCTGCTGCCTTCGAGAGATCCTTCAGGAGGAGAGGACGGAGCTGAGGGCTCCTCCTCCTCCTCCTCCTCCTACCTAAGGCTCCTTCCCTTAATTGAATATTGCTGACGAAGACTACAAAACAAAGAGGCTTTGGATAAAGAGTATTATACAGTGTATGTAAGGGGACGGGGGAAGGGAGGAAAGTTGAGCAGGGATGGAAAGAGGGAGCCAGGACGCGTGCGCTGGATAGGGGGGAAGGGGGGGAGGGAGAGAGGGAGGGATAGGGGAGAGAGGGAGAGAAAGTGAGGGAGGGAGAGATAGGGGAGAGAGGGAGAGAAAGTGAGGGAGGGAAGGAGGAAGGGGAGAAGGGAGTGAAAGAGATAGATAGATAGATAGATAGATAGCGCGCGTGTGTGTGTGCGCGAAGTATACGAACAGAATAGTACATAGGTACTCAGCAAAGGCAAGGGAGTTAGCGTCAGTGAATGAGTCAGGTAGGAGTGGCACTGACGAGGACGAATGACTAATAAAACGGCGAGGAAAGGAGGGAGGATAAAGATGGAGAGCAGAGAGAATAACAAACAAACCCAGAAAAGACAACCTTCACTACACGAAAAAGGAAAAGGAAAGCGAGACTCCAGGGGGGGAAGGGAAGAGGGAGAGAGAGAGAGGGAGAGAGAGAGAGGGAGAGAGAGAGAGGGGGAGAGAGAGAGAGAGAGAGAGAGAGAGAGAGAGAGAGAGAGAGAGAGAGAGAGAGAGAGAGAGAGAGAGAGAGAGAGAGAGAGAGAGAGAGAGAGAGAGAGAAGAGGAGAGAAGAGAGAGAGAGAGAGAGAGAGAAAAACACAAGAGAAACAGGCAGACACACCCCTCCTCTCCCGACGCGAAATCCCTCCCCCCCTCCAAACGATCCCCGCCAGTGTCAAAGGCTTTCCAGCGCCTCCTGCAGCCTCTTAGGGAACCTAGGACTCCCCGACGGCGACCGCAGCGGACAGGATATCACGATTCACCGCCCTACCAACAAACCTTTCCGGATGCCGACAAAATCTAATCTACGCGAGTCAAGTGTACAAGCTGTTCGAAGGCCTGAGGGTATTGGGTCCCCCCCCCCCAGGTCCCCCCTTGCCCCCTCACCCTCTTCGCCATCTCTCCTCTCTTCGTCACTTATTTTCTCTTGTGCTTCCTCTGTTTTTATTTTGTTCTGTCGCCTTGTCTTCTTTTCATTCCCGCTATTCTTTTTTTTTTTGTTGTATTTCGTTCTTTGGTCGCCATGTTTCCTTTCTTCCCTAATCTTGGAGTGCTTTTTTCTGTTCATTTTTCCTCCGACTTTTTTCCGAGCCCTATCTCTCTCCGCGGTTTTTATCTCACTAATTTCCCTTCTAAAATTCTTCCTCCCAATCTCCATTCGCTTTATTCTCTCTCTCTCTCTCTACATTCCCACTCCTCTCTCCTTTCCACCATTCCTCCCTTTCCTCCTCTTCCCCTCACTATCGCCGGCTGCGTCCGTTCCCCTCTCTCTCTCCCCTCGTAGGCATATTTCTCCCCTTCGTTGTTTTCCAATAAACATCGCCGGCACTTGTGTATGTATGTGTGTATGTTTTCTTCCGACTGCTCGCACTAGTCTCGGCGCTTCGGGTTACTCTATGTGCTACTACTATTTTCCTTCTGCCCCCCCCCCTCTCTCTCTCTCTCTCTCTCTCTCTCTCTCTCTCTCTCTCTCTCTCTCTCTCTTACGCACATAAGTAAATAACCACACACATATAATTACACACCAAAATACACACACACATTCCCTTCTGCGCCTGTAATTGTACCCTAAGGATCAGAGAGGCACAGGATCTCGCGCTGTAACTTGCCTTCTCGTAATGATGCGCCCAAAGCCTGCGAATACGTTACAAAAGCTGCATTGTATGGCTTCGTCGTCGAGTACCCCCACTCCCTCTCCTCTCTCCCTCTTCTTCTCCCCCCTCCTCTCCTCTACCCTCCTCTCTCCTCTCCTCTTTCTCCCCCTACTCTCCACTACTCTCCTCCTCTCCTCTTTCACCCCCCTCCTCTCCTCCCCCTTTCCACCCTGGGATCTTCGTCACAGACAAGTGTACAATAACCTCCTTTTAAGGCAAAGTTTCGCACAACAAAAGACAGTAAGGAGGCAATCAATCTTAATTATGTACTAAGGCACATGCTTGTGGATTTGTAAAGACGTCGTGTGGAGCAAGCTGTCTCACTATCTTCCTTTCTTTTACTGTCTGTCTGTCTGAATTTGTATGTGCGCTTTTGTATGTAAGAATCTTTGTGTTGGTACGTCTGTGTGCATCTGTGTGCTATTGTATGAGTCTGTATGTAAGTACTATATGTATTATGTAAGCACCATATGCATGTATGTATGTGTTTGTGTGTACATCCGTGTGCGTGTATGGTTGCATGTCTACTCCAATCCGTGTCTATCTTTTATTCCATCCCCCAACCGATCTCTGCAATATCTTCCCGCTGCTGGCCGATATGCACGCCGTTGCAAGATGACCTGCGAAGTGTCCTCGGCGAAATAAACCAACCTGTTGCAAGTGTGACTCTCGGGGCCTTCTTTTACTTCCGTTTTACTTTTTACTTTTTGTTGATACCAATGCTTGTATCGGCATTATCCTCATTCAAAGTTTATGACTACAGGTACAATGATTCCGGCAACGAAACTAACCAAAGACACAGGCAGCAACACATGAACACTAATCCAGAATTTAAAAAAAAAAATCTAAATCTATTTCCTCCCTAAACAAATACACGTGAAAACAAAACACAAATTTTTTTCTGAATTCACAATTAACACGTGTTCCTACGCCCATTTCCCCTGATAAATGTGGGGCGCAGTAAGCCTTCTCCGCCAGACGTCTGGAGTAATGGCGTTAAGCAAAAATATTTGACAAGGTCGATCGTTACAATTTCCCTTACGAAAAGATCACGAGTCGGAAGGGAAGGAAAGAGGAAGGAGAGGGGAGGGAAAGAAGGGGGAAGGAGATGGGAAGAGGGAGGGAAGAAGAGGGGAAGGAGGAGGGAAATAGTGAAGGAGGGAAGGTGACAGAGAAGGTGATGGAGAAAAAAGGGGAAGAGGGAGGGGAGAAGTGAGAGGAAAAGAAAGGGGGAAGCCAGAATAGAGAAGGAATGGAGGGAAGGAGAAGCGAAGGAGAGGAAAGAAGACGGAGGGAGGAAAGCAGATGTAGGAAACAGGACATATACGGAGGAGAAAAAGAGAGAAAAAAAGAAAGGTGGAATGAGAGAGAGAGAGAGGAGAAGAAGCAAGCGGCACAAAAGGGGAAAGACACAGAGGAAGGGAAAGAGAGAGCACAGCCAAGCAAGACAAAAATCTATAACAAACCTCAAATATCTAGAAATTATGCAACAGCTAATAAAATTCGCACAGGCCTTCCTTGCACACACTCCTGAGCGAACCCCATCGGTTAGGCCTTTGGCCCCATGATCAATGCCCGCTCGGGATTCTGGGCGCTCAATTCCTTAAACTTCTCTTATAATTTAAGGAGAGAGGGAGAGAGGGAGAGAGGGAGAGAGGGAGGGATGGGAGGGATGGGAGGGGGGAGAGGGGGAGACGGGAGGTAAGATAGATGGTGAAAGGAGAGAGAGGGAGAATGAGAGGGGGAGAGAGAGAGAGAGAGAGAATATGAATGGCAAAGCGATACAGCGAAAAAGATAAAGAAATGACGGAAGAGAATAGGAAAAGAGAATCACTTAAAAGATAAAAATCAATAGAAGAAAAGACAAGAGAGAGGGAGGCAGTCGAGACGAAGAAAGCGCGGACACGATCCCCGCCCGCCCGCCGCCCGCCGCCCGCTAATCCCAAATTAAATATAGCCTCACGGAAGGATCTACATACTCTACGGACCTGTAATCTGGGCGAGAATTTCCACACGAATGAACCGGCCAAGATTAATTCGCGGCTCATATTCGCAGGGCTGTATTCTCCCTTCCCTTCCCTTCCCCTCCTCTCATCTCCTTTTTCCCTTCCTCTTCTTCCATACTCCTCTATTCCCCTCTCCTTCCCTTTCTTCCGTCCGCCACCCACCTCTATTCCTCTTTCTCATCTCCCTTTCCCTCCTCTCCTATCACTTCTGTTCCCCTCTTCCCTTCATCCCTCCTTCTTCCCCTACTTTCCTTTGCCTTCCCCATTTTCCTTCATTCCTCTACTTCCTTAAAACAAGAAATCTACATGGCTTTCTACACCTACAGTACACCCTCCCCCTTTTACCTTCATTTACATAGCAATCCTAGCCGAGACTTCTCTATCTATTTTACCCCTTCCCCCCATAACCGAAATCAACCCTGCTTTCCCCTTCTAAAAAATGGCCTTTCCTCTGCCACTAGGATCCCACAAACCCTGCTTGGTGGCGATAAGGCAAGTCAAGGCAAGACAAAGCAAGTTAAGAAAAGTCAAGACAAGGTTGGGTAAAAGGCAAAAGTAGAATCCTTGACCTCTTTTTCTCCTTTTCCCTCTCTCTCCCTACTCTATTCCCCCTTCCTTCCTCTCTTCTTCCCCCCCCCCCAGTGACTTTGACGAGAAGATCGAGGCAATGCACTGAACATGCCACGGGGATTTCCACCTGTCTTGGGACTTTGTGAAGGGCGCGGGTAGGGTGCAGAGGAGGAGGGAGTGGAGGCAGGGGAGGTGGAGGGGTGGAGGAAGTGGAGGGGTGGAGGGGGGATGGAGAGGCAGGTAATTTACTTTGAAAATTGA